TGCTGGCAGATCCAAAACGGCATTTTTGAATGCGTCAATTGCTTCTTCTGGTGACTGGAACCTTTGACCACGCAGTCTGCTTTTAATTTTCGGGAAAGTAAAGAAATCGTTAGGACTTAGATCGGGACTATATGGAGGATGGTCCAATAATTCCACGTTTTCTTCCGTTAAATACTGCCTTGTTTTTTGGGCTGTGTGCGAGGTTGCATTGTCTTGGTGGAGGATGATTCTTCTTTCGGGGTTGATTTTTCGAAGCTCGGTGATGACTTTTGGCAAACAAATGGTGGTATACCAATCCGCAGTAACAGTTATTTGCTCATTAACAGGAATTGTTGCAATATGACCCATTTTTGACACAAATATCGCGACCATCTTTTTCGAAACACTTCGAGAACGGATGAATTTTGTTGGCTTTTCTTTACCTTGGAACACGTAAACAGCTGACTGTCCTTTATTTTCTGGTTCATAACAATACATCCACGATTTATCACCACTAACAATGCTGTACACATTTTTTGAGTTTCCGTAATTGAAACGTTTTTTGACACCAATTAACGCTGGCTGCTTTCTGCTCTTCAGTTAACAGGTGGGGTATCCAACGAGAAACTAATTTTCTTACTGCTAATTCATGTAAAATTTTTTGAATTGAGGTCTTTGAGATCTTCAAGGACGCCTCAATCTCGCGATATGTCACATGTCTTATCTTCAATGATGAGTTTGCGCACAGCATCGACGTTTTCCTGGGTGACTGCCGTTTTTGGTGCACCCGCCCTAGGATCGTCGCTAAGACCCACCCGTCCACGTTTGAATTCTCCATACCAACGGGAAATTGTCGAATGATGTGGCGCTTCGTTGCCGAAAACAGACAGTAACTCAGCAAGGCATTCTTGTTGCGATAATTGTCTCTGAAAGTTGTAATAAATTATGGCGCGAAAATGTTCTCGGTTGAGTTCCATTTTTCTAATGACTTGGTGACACTTAAAAATTCACTGTAGTGAGAATAATGCACGTATTGGTGTGAAAGTTTGAATTTAAGTTTACTAAAGAGTGAGGTTAAGATTCAGTACTGACGTTCGATCCGCGCGGCCTACTATGTTTCTATATGCAAAACTTAAAAGACATCCCTCGTATCATTTTATTTTGAGATCATTAATTATGATTGATTTTTCGACCATCTACTACTGTAATATAAACTCTTTGTAATCTATTTTCTACTTTTTAGTTCGGTTAGCTGTAAAAGCGTGCTTTTTAGTTTTTTTAAACGATTATTTATTCTTGAATTATTTTGATCCAAATCAAATATATTGTACCATTTGCGAGATAGTAATACTAGATGGTGAAATACAGAATCTAATTCAGTAACATCAAGATGTGATGTTCCTTGCCCTTGGTCTCCTAATAGATTTTTAACTCAGCAGCAAAAGCATACATCACATGGCTGACGCAGTACATTTCCCATGAATCGCTGTACAGTGTCAGTGTTCCTCCATCTCTCTCCTGGAGCATGACACCATATACTCGTATGGTGGTCTGTAATTCACCAACATTGCGACAAAATAAACCAATGGATGATATTTTTAAATATAATGAGGTTTGTTTCTCGCTAACTTTTTGAAAACAAAAATATCATGCTATCTCTGTATCATGTACTTACTATATATCTATGTATAAGTGCTCATTTTGTTTTAAATGTTTGTATGACGAGTGACCTTTCTCCAGGCGGCAGTTGTATTGACACTCACAAGTGTCAAATGCCAATCTTGCTGTGGGTTTGGAACATTTGAGAGTCAATACAGCCCATCTAGTATCCGGGTAGATTATGGTATTTTTGCATCTATACAGGACATCAACTTTGAAGTTGAGTCATTAATTTTCAGATAATGATTGTAGAAGGAAGATAAACTAAAATGTGTGTAAAAATAAAAAAACATTAAAAAAAAAATTTTACCTTGTTTTATAAAGTATCCTCCCGACAAGTATTTCAGTGCGGACCTGTATTTGATCGTGTGGTCTTGAAGCACCGGCAGGCCCTCCCCTGTAAGGTCTTAAGTCTCCTGATTCACGAGCCCTTTGTACTACATTAACAAGGGCACGAGGGGTTGGTTGCACTCGATTAGGAAACCGATTCGCACAAATCCGTGATGCCGCGGCAGCATTTTGTAAAGAGATTTCGTTTGAGCCACGCAACAAACACCACTATTCACTCACGCGTTACCGACTGACGAAAAACATCGTGATAAACGTTTCAACTTCTTTCGCTTTTTTGTTTCCGATGCGATGAACCGATAACGCGGATTATATCCGTTGTTGCCAAACACGAGCACATAATATTATTATTGAGACAGGGCGGTACTCAAACTTCTAAAAGGCTATAACCTTGTTACTTTAATTTTACCAGAAAAATGTTAAAGGAAAAAAACATTTCTTTTGATCAGATCTACTCACTGTTAAAATAAATGACTCAACTTCGAAGTCATCCTGTATATTTACCAGAGATAGAGTGACAACAAAGCAAAACAAACAGCTTATGCGGAAAATTCAGTATTTATAATTCATTTCGTTGTTCCTTGCATATTTATGAGACGCATAGTTATTTGAATGGGAAAACCCGGAAAGAGGAAAGTTGCTTTTACAGTAGTTGCCGCAAAAACATTTTTAGGACAGTATTTGAATATGTATGCTGTGTGTATTCCGAACAAAGTTATACAGGGTCACAGGGTGAAATATAATAAGCTTCGTACTAGCCTATTTCGCCTTAGTAATATAAGTAAGACAAGAAACCTGTCAACTAGGTCACCTTTAGTCATCTGCTTGTCGGTACTTCCGTCAGCATGTCCCCCAGCTTTCAGACCCAATCGTTCCTCGCATGGTGCGCGAGCTCACAGTCTACAGTATACCTTATACGAATATATAATTAAGTATTCTTTATTCAAAAACACTGTCATATTTAGTAACCAAATTCATATACAAAGGAAATATGAATGACATTAATATTAGATATGAAGAGACTTTTTCAGTTCCACGCCAAAGCACATCTCTATTCCAGAATACATATATTCAAAATGCGATCAAATTATATAATTCTTTAGACCGTAGTTTAAAGGAAACTTATCCATTACCTAAACTCAAGCATAAAGTGAAAGAAATTATACTTGATCAACAGCGAATTCTGTTGGAACTCATAAGTGTTAAATGACCTTATGGGTTCTTTATGCCTTTACATTGATTATACTTATTTTGAGGTTATTAATTTTCAACAAATTTTCAGTTTATAGACATTTGATATTGTTAAGGGGTTAGATGGTAGAATAGATATAGTATCTAAATCTCCCCTCCTGTAATATTATTACAAATAAAAAAGACGTTAATCATCATTATTAAAATTGAAGCGTATTAAAAAAATGCCTGTATTTCAATCACTATTCTGGGTATCTTTATCTACGTTTCCGACTTTAGCTCAATTACATATGCACTCCGTTTGCAAAAAGGTCACGGGTTCAAAGAGTAGAAGTTCTTTCAGGTGGAATGCTAAAACTTCGGGTATATTCATGATTCATTAGCTCCTCTTAATTATTGAGGCATTACACGCCTGGCCTCCACCGGCACAGTATGACGCTCAATTGGTATTCTGGAATGGATGAGATACTCAACCATAGAGTAGTATGACTCGGTACGAAATGGGTCAAGTCAAAAGGACCATACTTATACCATATCATCTACTCGAATGTTGTAGATGGTAAGGTCAATGCTTTATTGATGTTAATGTACATACAGTACTTACACACGTCACTCTGTAACAAAATCTTATAGCATACATAGAGAATCGAATTCTAATAGTAGAAGTGGATAGTAGATCACATATACAGGGTGGCCCATTTCTGGCTATCCTGCTATATTTTGGGAAAAGTGCTCGAACACGTCAATTTTGATTTCTAATAATAAGAGATTGTAACTTTTGCATAATAATATATACAGGGTGTTGGGGAAATAATATTCGAAACTTTAAGAGGTGATTCCTTGCATTATTCTTAGCAAAAAAGTTCATTATAACTTATGTCCGAAAATCAATCGTTTTCGAGAAAAGTGAGTCGTAAGTAATTAAATTTTCTCAAACATTTGGCAACGCTGCGACGCAACCGCGATATGAGCGCACGACGACCGCAACTGATTCATCGAATTATTTACGTTTGTATGACAATTTGTAGTATGTAGTTGGGGATTATTGGTCCACTGTTTCAGCAAGCCAATCTTTGGTTTGAAAACTGGTTACGGACAGTCAAAACATTACATTGGATTTTGTTGGGATTCGGGGTTTGTGACATGCGCAGATCACACAATATCATAATGTTGTTTATGTTATGATTTGTGGTATTGTGGTTATGATTTAATCAATGGACTGGATATCATAAATCGATTCAACGGATGATGAAGATATTCTAGACATGATTCTTCATAATCACAAAAAAACAAAAATGAGGATTACTTAAACGTAACCGTGCATCTATATACTGAAAGCGAGTTTAGAGAACATTTTAGGGTTAGTCGTAAACTGGCCGAAGATATCTCAACTAAATATGAACACAGCCCGTCCTACAAAAAGCAAACTGGCGGTAATGGGAAGCATTCTGCTTATGAACACACACTCATATTTTTGTGGTTCGCGGGACATGCAGCATCATCGTTTCGTGATCTAGCTGATAGATCTGATATCACGATTAGTTGTTTATTCCACATGATAAGACGTTTAGTCAAGTTTATAAGCAGTATATCTGGAACTGCAATTCAATGGCCTAACAATGAGGAAAAAATCATAATTCAGCAACAATTCAGAGATAAAGGGTTTCCAGGTGTAATAGGAGCAATAGACGGAACTCATATAAGGATTGATAGGCCAAAGGATGATCCTGATTCATATCTGAACCGCAAGCACTTTTATTCCATCCAAGTAATTCAAAAAAACGCATCTATAGTTTGCATGATCAAGATTAAGTTTTTTTTAGGTACAAGCTGTTTGTGATAATCGAGCACAAATCCGAGACATCTTTATTGGATACCCTGGATCAGTCCATGATAGCAGAGTATTCAGGAATTCACCACTATTTCCAGTATTGCGTGAAAACTGCCAACAGTATTATATACTGGGTGATAGTGGATACCCATGTACAAGACATCTCCTAACACCATATAAAGATCATAGAAACCCGATGGGGATTGAAAATAACTTCAATTTGAAGTTAGCTAAAAATCGATATGTGATAGAGCACTGCTTTGGCCTAATGAAGCAGAAATGGAGACAGCTTTACCATATAAAATTGAGAAAGATTGTTGATATTGTACACTTTATACATGCATGTTGTGTTTTGCATAATTTAGCTTTAAATGATGGCTTTCCTGATGAAGTACATCTTATACCTGATCCAGTTTTTCCACTTGTTCCAGAAACAGATGATGAAGCCGAAATTTTGAATAATGCTGCTGCAGATCACAGGAATTTTGTAGCTAGGCATATTTTGATGCAGTATAATCAGTTTTTTTTACTTGGAACTAAATAATAAGACGTCATTATTACAGACAGGTAAAAGCACATTCCTAAAGGGGAAAAGGTTTGAATAAATTTTGTTTGAAGGCATTGGACTCTGTCATTTCTCTCTTTTTTCATGCCAATCTGAAGTGGCAATGGGCAAAAATGCTGAGATACTCATTTTCAAAAATTACCAATCCTCAAAGGTGTACATCTCCAACACAGGAAAATAAGAAACTGCCATAAGGTTTATGCATCTTAAGTTGATTCCCTGACCAAAAATATACACTTTCAAAGCTTGATATCTCATAAAGGGCTTTCCAGGACATTTTACTGTCAACGAATGCATCTAAAGTCTTTGTATAATTGATGATGAAATCTTTTGTTTTGGACCATGTAGGTTAGTCCAGTGTTGTTTTGAAGATCTTCTGAATTATTGAAGTTTGTTCTGTTGTTTACTTCTAGTTTATAGCGTAAATTAATACTGTAAATGTATATACATTCATCTTTTAGATTAAATAAAAAGTATTTTTAAATAGTGTATCAGTATTTTAATATTTAATAATGCAGAATGAACTAAAATACTAATACAAATTTTACATTCATTCATCACAGAAATGAAACTTAACATATATCTTTCATTATAATAACTACAAACACAAACAATATTGCACATAAACACAAGATAACACACAACATAACTACGATTAAGTATCCATTTTGTCAGGGGATCTATTTTGTTTTTCAATATTTGGTTTCTTTTTTCTAAAACGTCAACTTGTTTATTTTTTATTTGTAATTTCTGTTTTTGCAGTTCTAATAGGGGGTCTATAGTATTTTGTGTTTTATTTGTTTCAGTCCTGTGCCTCATGTTCATTATTTGGTCGAATCTCACCTACAATGAAGGGCCAGATGTGGTAAAAAAAGAAGTCAATCTACATCAATATTGAATATATTCGAATAATAGTTCTTTAACACTTAATGTTGGTGCCATTTAAATAGCCCCCAAGAAAGCTCTAAAAGTGCTTAGCCTGTGAAAGTGAAGGAAAAGTTTGAGTAATTGACATTTCTACAAATACTTAATGATTTTTTTTTATATTCCAACTACCACGAAGGCCTAAGGCCTAAACACCCATTGGGTACCGTGGGGCTATAGGGGGATACAGGGGAAAGGGGAACAGTTTGTTACATTAAGTACATAATTTTTGAACAACCTGTTTTCGTTTTTCATGCCCCTTGAATCCATTACATTCTGGACCATATATGGAGACAGTGCAGCTTACCTGATGTGGTCAGTAGAATTTCTGGATTTATATTTTTTTTCTTCCTGAAAATAGTGTCTATTTCTTCCGCAAATTCAAAGTATTTTCTGCCGCGTCCAGTACTGGAATTGTTTTCCACATAGCGCTTATAGTTTCTCTCCAGCACCCGCCAACGATTTTCGCAGTTTTGGGGTTTTGTATTTTACGTTATACTTTCTCGTCATGTGTTCTGATATTGTATCCCACACTTTTTTATTTTCCCACCTACTTTACTTCTGAATATTTTGTAACATCCAATTAACATCAGTGTGTGATGTCTTGTCCAAGACGGTGTCCCACCAGTTACATCTCTGTTTGCGGGACGTATCAGAAATTCTGAGAGATCTGCAAAAATGTCAAGTATAAGTTTGATAAACCCTCATATCTATTATTTACACTTACCAATGTCACCACTAACTTTCTAGAATATTTGATTTTGCTCGCACATCATGCAAAACAACCACAAAATCAACTTTCAAATACAAATCACTAAATCCTAAATCACAGATGCAATACAAAACGTACTGAGACGCAAATGCAATTCAAACCCCATGAAAATGAAACGGGAAACGCACGAAACAAGAATGTCATCTAAGTGTCACCTACGATGCTGTTACTATCAAGTAGGGGTGTTCGATACGATCCGATGTTTAGAAGTATCGATACTTTTGTCTCCGATACCCGATATTTTGGATCGATATTTTTATATACGATACTTGGTTGTATCGATACATTTCGCGGTTATCGTTACCTTTCGATCCGAACTGTGTCAGAAAGAGTGAAACTTCAATCTACTTTCCTTCTTTAGGCAATTTTTTTTTGATCAGAGGTTTTGGATGATCTTGAGTGACAAAAATCACACAAATGTCAGAGATCAATGCATACAGAGTTGCCAGAGCGTGACGACGGATTTTCATACATAGTGGAAATGAGCCATTGCGATTTGCCAAAATGAGCGATCCAAAAGAAAAACTGCTCTCAAATAAAAACTGAAACACAAAAAAATCCCTTTTTCACCATTTGTGTCAAAATTATCTATTTTCCATGGTCTGGCAAATCAGTTTCTTCTTCGAATTTCGATGAGTTCCTGTTTCCTATGGCAATTCAGTTTAAATTTACCGCTCTCATTACATATTTCAAACAAAGTGTTGCAGCATCAGATCAGTTAAGAAAAGCACAACAGCATCAAAACGCCCTTAGACTAATTCAATCAGTGCCAACCAGATGGAATTCAAAATATTTTATGTTCGAGCGATTTGTTAAACTCCATGAATATGTGGCTGCTATTTTAATAAGAAATCCCAAGTCTCCAGAAGTGTTAAGTGCTTTAGAATTGGAAACAGTAAAAGAGGTTTTAAATATTTTAGCCCCAGTAGAGGCAGTTTCTAAAGAGATGTGTGGGGAAAAACATTTAACCTGCAGTAAAGTTATATCTATTGTGAATTGCCTCTTGAAAAAAATTGGAAATTTTACTCCATCAGCAACACAGGCTTTAGCTCTTTAAACACTAACACTCGAGGACCTTTTAAACGTTTTGGGAGCATCGAGCAGATTAAACTTTGAGCTGTCCCAAATATCCTAGGCCCTCGTTTTAAACGACTGCACTTCAACAGTCCAATTTCTTATGCTAACGTACCTTCCTGAGTCAATCATTTCAGTTACGCAAGAAAGAAATAAATACAGCAAAGGCAGGGCAAAATCAAATTAATATTCTTGAAAAATCTGACAGTGTTTGGGTCTACCATGAAAACCTAGCCCAAAATCATACAGATAAATATGATTATACCAAATCAGATATTGATCTTGAGCTAAAACTGTATTTCAATAGACCTACTAAGCCCCTAAGCTCGGATCTCTTTTTGTACTGGAATAGCTCAAGTTCTTCCTCAGAGGTATTTAAAGAACTGGCTAATAAATATCTCTCTGTTGTTGGCACATCAGTTCCCTCAGAGAAACTCTTTTCTGAAGTCGGAAATATACTCTGCCAAACCCGAAACAGATTATCTGGCAATCGAATGTCATATTATTCTTACAGCAGCCGCGGTGTTCCGGCATTTAGGCTTCTGCCTGCGCGGCTGTTTCGATATAAAAAAAAAACATTCGCCGAGTGCTGAAGAATGGTATTTTCAAGATTTCGAACTTGAGTCATTTGTAGTATTGTTTTTGATACCCTATGTTTATATATTTTATGTTAATAATAAATAAATAATCGTTTTGTAAAGAATGTCTTAGTATTTATTTTTTTACCTATTTTTTTGTGAACTTATTTGACAATCGTCATGCAGTTGAAAAAAGTGACGTTATTTAGAGGGTTGTAAAAAAGGCAACTTCGATTTTCGGACGTGTATAGTGTATGCTCCGTATCGAAAGGTATCGATACTCCATTAAACGATACGAATCGATACTTGGTATCGATATTTTACGTGGATCGGAACATCCCTACTATCAAGTCAATCATATTTTGACAGGAAGAAGTGTTCTGGCAGAATTCAATTTGTAACGGTTTGAAACCAGCCTTCTGACCACGCATGCGTGTTGAGGGAGTCCACAACCAGGTGTCAAACCGTTGGAAATGTAATGCCAGAACATATCTATTGGATGCTTTTACGCAATTTTTTGTGGCTAATATTTTTTATTCAATAACGCTTTCAGTACAGTACATTTACTTAAAAAAAATGACAGAACTTACCGGTACGTGGCGATACATACCACCAATTCCCACGATTATCAGTCACTTATTTGAAACGATGCGATGCACGAAAAAAGAAAAAACATCCGCAAATCACATAAAGTTACAGTTAAATGTATTAGTAATCACAATGGTGTTCTTCGGTTTCCACTCAAACTTCACGATGTCTTCCGCGATTGTTAAAATTAGGCACTACGCTCCCTGTGTCCAGAAGTCTTTGGGATACTTCTACGAATGTTCCTCTAGCTGGTAGCCTCCGATCAGGAAAACATTCTTCGTAAATGCGCCTAGCCTCTTCAGAATTATTGCAATGAGCCTCTCCGTAAATAATAAGCATATCGTGATACTCGCGTACCGAAAACATCTCTTTCGTATCAAAATGCACGCACTGATACAGTAATCATACTGAATAATAAAATGTGATTTCAATTCGGAAAAACACGTGTGCAAGAAACTATCAAATATTTTTTTTCCGATGTAGGTATTTATTTTTTTGCTTACCGACACGATGTCGGTCGCGATGATACATGCAGTGCAGGCGGAGTACGACGTTGCGTGAAGGATTTTGTTTGTTTGTTTTTAATCGGAAAATTGTATTTAAAAGCAGGACAATTATTTTGTTAGAGACAGTTAATAAATAAGTAGATGTATTGATACATTTTACGCTATTAGGCATATGAATTTAAATTATTAGGGTGCAAAATCAGTTATAAATGACTAAAAAGAAATAAGTTCAGTATTTTTTTGCTCCGAAGCGGTTGATTTTCGGACATAGGTTATAATGAACTTTTTTGCTTAGAATAATGCAAGGAATCACCGCTTAAAGTTACGAGTATCATTTCCCTAACACCCTGTAGAACATAATATTTAATCGTCGTGAAGTTATTTGAGTTTATAATAAAATTCTAGAAATTGTGATAATAAGGGATTATATCATCAAAATAATAATCAATATAAATCCCATAGTAACAAGACTTTAAAATTAACAAGTCTCAGAGTATTAAAAAAACAAAAAACATTAAAGTTAAAGTAAAAATTAAT